GGGGGGGGGGGGGGGGGGGGTAGGCTCGATTTTTGCGGCCAGTCATATGTGCACACATTTGCCCAAGTATGCAGGCATCACTCAGCCTTTGTCAGCACGACCCTTCGCTTTTGAAAGGCCTATGGAAAACCGGCCTTGCTGTGGGCTTTGCGTGACTTTGCGGAGACTCGGCCAAAGACACATCGAATTCGCCTTGGAAATAAGGAACTCGCACACAGGTTGATGTGACAGAACCCTTTTTAAAACATAGCTCCCTTGTATGCCTGCAGCACATGCTGGCTTGAAGGCGAGGACCAAGTAGGATAGGAGAGCACATCCAAAATGGCTGCCACGTGGAGGTACGGGTACTCTGAGGCCTGTTCAATACACAGTTTTGCATGACGGGCCTGCCCAAAGTGACGATGTGGGAACCTGAGAGGAAAAGCTGGCACCTGCGAGTTGCCTGCGGCTATGGGCAGATGGAAGCTGCTCGCACACTTCTGGCAGCCCGGGCGGATCTCAATCACACAGCGGGTTTAGGTGGCGGCCGCAACCCCCCTTCACGAAGCAACAGTGAACGGGGAAGAAAGCATGACTCGGCTTTTACTTGAGCATCGAGCCGATTGCAACATCCGGGGACACTTCCGGAGTAAGGAGAGGACAGTGCTGGAAATGGCCGTGGACAAAAACCACCAGACTATAGTCGACATGATCCTCGAGCAATTGCAGGCGCCTCCAGCCCCGAGTGAAGATGACGAGTGCCGTGGCTTTCCAGATGCGGAGGTCCGCCTGGTTGACATAGGCAACCTTCAACGAGATGTTTGCCGAAAATTCGCGTGTGGGCGCACTCTCGAAGACACCATTCAGGAGATTGTGGATGGCGATCTGGACCCCGCTACACATCCCAATTTTGTGCTGAGGCTTGTTGGGGGCTACGCCCGGGCCAAGGGCTGCGATTGCAAGAAAGGTTCTGGACTCGTGACCACAGGCGTTTGCTAGCTGTGCAGATAGCTGGCTGCAAATTTGTCCGGGCAACTGTTGATGTTTGGGATCGGGGATGTCGTGAGCAAGGCCATGGACCGCTTGGAGTTCGACAGGCGGATAAGCGTGCGTTTTCCACAGTCAATGCCATGAATGATCCCTGAAGCCTCCAGGGGAATGGCCATGATAATGGGTGTTAGCGACTTGCGACAGGCGGCGTCCGACATACTGAAAGTTTGTCGGGGTGCTGGTCGCCTCATGCATCTTGCATTTGCACCCATGATATGTCTGGATATTGCCGGCATGGTAGAAGCGCTGTGGCACGAGAAGTGGTCAGAAACTTCCTAAACCATAACCCTCACGTGCCGTCGCGGCCCTGAGATCGTGTAGAAGAAACCTCCCTTGAGCCTTGTCCTCGACTTTTCCGGGCTTCCGCCAGATTCCCTCAGTATTTCACAAGTGTCAAAGAGTTTTTTGGGGCAGCGAGCAATTCAGCCCTAACTAGAAAACACACACTCTAGGACAAAGGTAAGGTCATCTTTTGGAACTTGAGAGAATCATCACAGCAGACAGTCTCAAAGCCAAGGAGCTTCCTCGCGATGGCAAGGCCTGGGCCGTCGCGTTTCAAGGTGATACTTGTTCTCACTGATGGCACAAGCACTACTCGTCCGATATTGGTGATAGTTTCTAGCTACTAGTGACATCATAATGAATTCTGTAGTATGTTGTAGCGAAGGTTGTGATTGCTGTAACCTTGACTTGAGGAGATATAGGGCCTTCTTGTGGCGAGTCGTTTGCATCTGGTCTTTGCTGCCTTCGTTTGATTTCGCCGGAGTGACCGGAAGCTTATAAATTACCGGAGGTGCTGGCCGCTAACCTTAAGGTGGGCTCAAGGACAGGCCCAACAAACCTTGATCTGTGCAGTCCAACTCTGATACTCTTGCTTCTGCCTAGAGGTGTCAAAGCCTACTCTACGTGTGCAGGGCCGCACCGTGTCTTCCGACGAGTACCTGGAGCAATGCTTGCACGACTCGCGAGAGCTGTCGAAGGACGGGCAGCACACACAAGCTTTTCATCCCCTTAAGCATCTCAGGGAGTTTCGTCGCATAAACCCGAAACCTGAAACCCTAGCTCTTGGATAGGATTTTGATACGAAGGTGTGACTCCTTCACGACCCTGGCCAGGAGAGCGCGCGGAAGGCTTGCGGTGTCCGGCATGGGCTCGTGAAGTTTTTCAGGCCGGACCCTGCCGGATCATTCCTCGTGGCAGGTGTCATGTCTGAGTCTTGCCAGAGGCGTATGCGCTGCAACATTTGTGGCATTTCCGAACTGCGCCGCGTTGCACTTCGCATCATCGTCATCAGTCGGATACTGTACAGCGAGGTCATGCAGTGCAAGGTCGGGTGATTAAGGTACTCCTTGGCGGCATATGTTGGCTCGTTTCGCGCTGGCTAGTCAGAGTTGGTCAGTTGGAGAATGTAGTCATGCTGACAACTTGACTCAGTGGTTGGGCCTTGCGACGTCTTCTGCAGAAGGTTTTAAGCAGCAGAAGTCCGCCGCCGTACTGTCTGACTCGAACTCTGCGAGTTCATGCGACGAACGGCGTTGCTAGTCAGGGAACCCTTGGTCACAAGCATGCGTGCATAATCGCAGAAGTTGGGTGAGCAACATATCCCTCAGTCTCCCTTGGCATGAAGCATACCTCAGCAGTCACCTCTTTCGCCCTGGAAAGCTCCAAATCGCCACGAACATGATAGAATCTGATAGAACACAACCAAAAGGATGCCAGAGCCCTACCACCAAACAGTAGGAAAGCTCTTTCCTGAATCCTTCAAGCCTACCTGTAGTCTCCATTGTAGTTCCTTTTTTTGGTTTAACCAACTATATATTAAGGATTTTATAAAGCATCCCCAAAAAGGAACTACAATGGAGACTATAGGTAAGCCCGAAGTGCAGGCATCGGAGTTGCGATGTCATCCCAAGTCCCCAAGCAAGTCGTCTCGAGAGCCGCTGCCTTGGCGCTCCTCATGGGTGGTTGTCAAAATTAGGGTCCCTTTTTGGGTACCCTAAATATTAGGGACCCAAAAAGGGACCATAATTTTGACAACCACCCTCATGGGTTATGCTTGGATGACACCAGGGTTGAGGGTTTCGGGTTGATGGCCATGGCTTGAATTATGTTGGGCTTTCGGTTGAGGGTTGATCCTCATTCATGTGAACCGTGCTCATCGGCAACACCATTCTCGAAGCAAACGCCACCGAGCCTCTACAGGTGCCAGCTACGACTCTTTGGGCAAGCCCTTCAAGGCCTCCTTCTGCTTTGCTGGGCGGTCTTCAAAGTGCCCGGACGGCTTGGAGACGTCCCGGTGATTCCCCCGCCCATCCACTTGGAACTCTAATTCTGACGCGGGCTATTGAAGCATCTTACAGGGCATGTCCACTGCAACCCATGTATGTGCCTGCTCCATGGGCTCGACTTACGCAACTGCTTCTCTTTGTGCGCAACAGCAACTTCTTATTTCATGTACGCAGTACGCATCACTACAATGATTGCGCTCACGTTCATTGTCACCTGCATTGCCATCGTTCGACAATGTTGTGCTTACGGCTCCAGCTCATGATGCATCCATTACAACTATGCATGGTCAGCCTTCCACCTCTCACGTTCTCTGAAGCCAGGATGCCGTTGAAAAGTTCCGGTCGAAGCTGTTCTCCGCTGGCCTTTCCAGGCCCAAGGCACCGATGGGTCCCTTTTCCCTAGCACTGTACCTTGCTCGGGGAGTGTAATCCCCAATGCCCAAATCGTATTCCCTGGTTCCCTGATCCCAGGTTTCCTCAGAGTTTGACTGACATTTGCCGGTGAAGGCTAGCAGCCTTTCCACTGCCAAACTGTCGGTCTATGTAGTCTCTTACTCCTACATGTAAACAGAGACTGCCCGGCTTACAGTCAAAAATCCCTGCAGTCATATACCGCCTGATCGTATGTTGCATTATGTTGTATTATATTGTTTTGTCATACTCAAGATCATGTTAGATTACCTTACATTACTACTCCGGCTCCCAGCCCTTACGCCAGGCTGTGAATGGCAAGACGCTGGGCTGCGTGGCATTCGTCGTGGGCTTCCAAGACTCGCGACCATGTAGCCCAGTTCCTGTGAACCTGCGAAATCTCGACCGCATGACTAACCCTAAGGGTCCATGTACTCATATAGGATATACATGGGCCCTAACGGACCTATATAGGGACTACATTAAGGCCAATGTATATACTATATTTACTATATGAGCACATGGACCCTTAGGGAACTTCAACCCGGGCCTACACAAGCCGCCAACACAACATCCAGTGAGGCTTTGCTGAAGCAGCTCGTAGCCTCCGTGAACGATGGCAGGCCTTGGGTGGCAGACGGTGTGACTTAAAAGTTTCGGCAGTTTATCACACACCCTAACCCCCCAGGTGCCTACCATATAGGGCCTTAGGGGCTCTAGTACCCTATAGAGTAGGTACCTGGGGGGGTTAGGGACACATGCACTCGTCTTGTTTCGGTCTGAGTCACCCGGTACTGGGGGTTGCGTTGAAGGATACCCTGCTCGTGGATTTGTTATACCCCGCACTGCCCCATGTCCTGAATGCCATGCTTCCAGGAACTGCAAAGGCATGGGGCCCAGTGGAATCTAACCCATACAACCTATCAGCCAGTAAACAACACCCAGGCAACCCGTACAGAAACTTTTACAGAACCCTCACAACAATCCGCCCAAAAACCTGAAACCCTAAACCCCAAGACCTGAAGTGCACCAAGCTTAAAAGAAACCCTAAAATCCTAAAACCTGAAGTGTACCAAGTTTAAAAAGAAACCCTAAAATCCTAAAACCTGAAGTGTACCAAGTTTAACAGAAACCCTAAAATCCTAAAACCTGAAGTGTACCAAGTGTAAAAGAAACCCTAGAATCCTAAAACCTCAAAGCCCTAAGCCGTTTCAGAGGATTCTCAGCCTGCACGCGGCTTGGGAGTCGGTCCAGCACACCTCCTGCTCGGGCCCCTACTGTCGGAGAGGTGTTAGGGCTTTTAATTCGAAGCCTTTTGGGGCTGAGGATTTAATTAGGCTTTTCAATAATTTTGGAGTTTCAGGGTTTTAGGGCTCAGGGTTTAGGGGTGATTGTGGGGTTGAGGTGTTTCGGGTTGAGGTCTTTGGGGGGGGTACTCTTCTGTTGCTTTTCGGGACTGCCTCGGTTTTATAGTGGCTGGGACTGTTTGGTGGAGGTTCGGGGATCTTTCCCTTTTGGGCTGAGGATGGTTTTCCTGTAGGGGTTGTGACTTTGAGGCCGGGCTCTAATAAAGCGCTGGAGGGCTTACAACTTGTTTCTTGGGACCCCACCGTGCGCAGGAAATTCTTCAGAAGCTCTGAGGTTTTCCTCTGGGCTCTGTCATTCTAGGGTATAGGGTTTAGGGTATAGGGTTTTAGGGTATAGGGTTTAGGGTATAGGGTTTGGGGTATAGGGTTTAGGCTTTAGGGATGTATGTCCGAACATGGGCGGTGCAGGTGACTAGCTAACAGCCTTGTATGTGTAGACTTGATAGCTTGCAAGGGGCCTGTGTAGTCCTGCCCAGAACGACCCGCTTCCGGGCACCCTGAAAGTCTTCTGCCCACGCAATTCATGAGGGTTTTGGACACTGGGGGAACAATCCCTAAGGGTCCATGTGCTCATATAATACGTACATTTGCCTTAATGTAGTCCCTATATAGGTACGTACTTTAGGGCCCATGTATATCCTATATGAGTACATGGACCCTTAGGGAATAGGGGAGTTTCCGGATATATGGAACCCAGGCACACTTGCCCCGCCGATAAACTCCGTCGTACGACCATGCTATGATCGACACCAGAAGTCAGAAGGGAATCAATTTGCGAGAAGCTCACAATTAGAATTATCAGACCCATAGCTAAAACGAATCATACTGCCAGCACAAAAAACAATGACACGATGTAGCACCCACATGTAAGCAAAGATTGGTCGCAGCAGAAAAGACTAGCATGCCCCGTGCTGCTGAGGTGGCTCGTTATCGGATGAGCTAAGGGTGGGATCCTTGGGCGCTGGAGTTTCCGGAATTATTTGCATTCTGTACCCTTTAAAGGTTTGGGACAGATGCAGGCTTGGCCGCAGGGTCAGAGCGTGCGTGAACATTGAACCATGAGTCGTGAAAACTATTGCTTGCTGCGGGTTTGTACCGTAGATACCAGACGAAGAGTTTGAGGCGAGGCAGATTACACCTGTCATCTTTCAACATGCTGCTGCCTAGCCCTGTCACAAGAAGAATCCGAAAAGCGGATACCTGAAAACCCAAAGAGCCGCAGCATGGCTGTTTCTAAACGGGAGGCGAAGCTACTTCCAGGGCCGAGCTCCGGGGCTCTCGGGATGAAAATGACTGCCTAAACAGGCCCTACAGGCCCTAAGCCCAGTATCATTAGTTTATTCTATGAGAGTAGGTCAGATCAGATTATACTGTAACATGTTACATTCTACTAATGTGTTACTGTATTATATTAAGACACGGTTATAATCGTATCAGCATGAAGTTATAGTATACTATAGTATAGTAACAGGAAGCCCAAAGCCACAAAGGCCGCAACTCCTGACCCTAAACCCTAAACCCTAAACCCTAAAACCTCAACGAAACCAAACCCCGACCCGACTCTGAGGGCGAGGCTTCGTCTTTGTTCCAATCTCTGGCTGCCGGGCGCCCCATCGAAGGCGGGGGGCCTGAAGACCAAAATGACTAAAATATACTATGATGTACCATGCTATGGTATACTCTATTCTCCTAGAATATGAGGACATGTTAGTTATATCATTACAAAGGGTCTTTTGAATTGGTGGCCCTGTTCCTTGCTTTTTTGAGAGTTGCTTGAGGCTTCAAGGGGTAAGCATGTACAAGCTTCTTTTCGTCTCGGTCTAGATTATGTGACTTAAGACTTTAAGGCTAGCCTTTACGGATTAGGCTGCGCCGTTCGCATTTCGAGGACCGAGCCTCATTCCCCCTCACACACACACACACCCCAGCAACAGCAAACAAAAAACACCTTTCCCCCGCAGCAACAGAAAAAAAAACGCAGCAACAGCAAAAACAAAACACACACCCACACACCCAC